TAAACAACAAGGTCCCACTGTATAGCACAGGGAACTCTATGAACTATATTCAATATCTTGTAAGAATCTATAAGGGAAAAGAATCTGAAAAAGAATAGATCCATATATATGTATAACTGAATCACTTTGCTGCACACCTCAAACTAATACAACATTGTAAATCAATTATACTTCAATTTAAAAACATTTAAATAAAAAAGAAAGAAAGGAAGGAAGGAAGGAAGGAAGGAAGAAACCCAGCGTTTCTTCCCCAACCTGACTGGATTCTGGAGGGGGCAAGAGAAGGAGACTGGCTATAAAAGACCTCTGAGGGCTCAGGTTGTATGTATACCTTCTTCTCAGCAGCCCTTGAGCATGTTGCCAGGCCTAGGGCTGGGCTCGAGGCTGGGATAGGAAGAATACAGGGTGGTAGTGTACCAGAACCGTGACCCCAGAAATAGTAACTTCTGAAGCTTCTCAAGTTACCTACTCTGAAATCCCCAACGCCCTTCTAAAAGGGAGATAATTCAAAGATACTTTCAGCTTGTGTTTTCTTTTCTACAAGTAGGGCCAGTATAAATTATACCTAAGTAAATAAAAAAATAACTTTGACTTGAGAAAAGCAGCCAGGAAATTCAACGGCGTTTCCTAGCCATACGGGCCTCAGTGTTTGGGCTTTGCATATTTGGCCTGACAGAGCACCCTTAGAATGTGGGTGAGCCCATGAATGGAAGCCTGTTCTCCGTGTGGCTTAGCTGAGGCCTCAGTAGGGCCAGGCAGCCTGGGGCTGGCCTGAAGAGGCTGAGAGGATGCTAAGGGTCAGTAATGAATTTCCCACTATTTTCGAAGCTACGTGCATCTCATGTAACACAGTTGAGAACAACTGGGGACCTGCCTTCTTTCAGGGGACCCTCCCCGGAGGCAGCAGAGCTTATGAGAAACTTGACTCCTAACTGCGATAGGAGAGGCCTTGAGGAAGACGGGCTTTCTCCTTCATTTGTTCAAGCAGCCGGACGAACGAACATTGGCCTAGCCCCTACCACGCGCTGCGAAGGAGACACATCTTCACAGTCCCGAGATCTGTGAGACTCTCACGTGGAAAATGCAACCACCCAGAAGGTAGGTGGAGAAGAAAGCCGCCTCTCTGTTTGGCCTGGGAAGGCTAGCTTGGGCAAGATATAAGGCCATGTCCAAGTTCCCTTGGCGGGCAGGGGCTTCACAGAATACAGACAGAGCCAAGTCAGAAGGCTTAAGAAACAGGGCAACAGCCACCCAGCAGAAGCACCTGGACAACCTGGGGGCTGACGGGAGGGGCCTGATGCTTTGATCCTGATGTTTTGAAGGTGGGCCCTTGTACCCCCTGTAGCCATTCAAAAACATGCGTCAAGCCTTCATACCACCACCGCAAAAGTAACTACCACCTACATGGCATTTACTATGTGCCCCTCGACAGGCGTTATCTCATTGATTCCTTCTCTAGTTCAATAATACTGTTTTACAGATGAGGGAACGGAGGCCCAGAAAGATGAAGTGCTGCGCCCTGAGATCACATGGCTAATCAATGGTGAAGCAGGCCCCGCCTCAGGCTGCCTGGTTCTAAAGCCATACACCAAATGAATCCCTCTCTACAGTGACTCCATAATTGACAGCATCAACACCTTGTGATCCAAGTCACAACTGCAGGGGACTTCCCTGGTGGCGCAGTGGTTAAGAATCCACCTGCCAGTGCAGGGGACACTGGTTCGAGCCCTGGTATGGGAAGATCCCACATGCCGCGGAGCAACTAAGCCCGTGCGCCACAACTACTGAGCCTGCGCTCTAGAGCCTGCGTGCCACAACTACTGAGCCCATGTGCCACAACTACTGAAGCCCACGCACCTACAGCCCGTGCTCCACAACAAGAGAAGCCACTGCCATGAGAAGCCCACGTACTGCAACGAAGAACCTGATGCAGCCACAAATAAATAAATTTTTTTTAAAAAAGAGCTCTACAAATCACAATTTCATTCATTCACGAAATATTTATTGAGCACCTTCCATGTGTCAGACATTAGGCTGGGTACTTGGAAAACATCAGTTAACAGACTGAGTCCCTGCTGCCACAGAATTCAGAGTCTAGGGGGTAGGAAGAGCTAAGAAACACATAAATATATAATATGCCACATGGTGACAAATGCTAAGAGAAATAAAACAGGGTAAGACAGAGTGACAGGGTGGGTACTTCTATTTTTTAAATAGATTGTTCAGAGAAGGCCTGTCTGAAAAGATGACATTCCAATGGAGACTTGAATGAAGAAAGGGGAAGTCATGCCGTTATCTGGGGAAAGAGCATTTTAGGAAGGGGGAGAGGAGGTGCAAAGGGCCTGAGGCAGGACTGTACTTGTTACGTTCTACAAAGAGAAAGGAGGCTACACTGGAGTGAGGGAGGTGGGAAGTGGTAAGATGAGAGCAGAAAGATGACAGGGGCCCAGGCCAGGGAGGTCCCCATTAAAGACCTTGGATTTGATTCCAAGTGAGATGAGAAGCTACTGGAGGATTTCAAACAGAAAAGTCATATGGTACGACTTTCAGTTTAATGGTATAGACTGAAGCGGGGCAAGGGCAGCAGCAGGGAGACTGGTGAGGAGGCTGCTGCAAAATTCCAGGGGGGCTCCCCCCCCGGTGGCAGAGTGGTTGAGAGTCCGCCTGCCGATGCAGGGGACATGGGTTCGTGCCCTGGTCCGGGAGGATCCCACATGCCGCGGAGCGGCTGGGCCCGTGAGCCATGGCCGCTGAGCCTGCGTGTCCGGAGCCTGTGCTCCGCAACGGAAGAGGCCACAGCAGTGAGAGGCCCACGTACCGGGGGGGGGAAAAAAAAAAAAAATTCCGGGGCGGGGCTGTGGAGATGGCTTCGCAGACCAAGGGGACAGCAGTGGAGGTGAGGACACGTGGTCAGAGCTCGGATATATTTTGAAGGTAGAACTTACAGAATTGTTCGAAGGATTGGATGTGGGATATGAGATAAAGAGAGCAGTTAAATATGACTCCAATTAATTGGAAGGGTGCATCTGCCACTTATGGACGGAGCAGGGCGACGGGGAGACTAAGAGTTCAGCTTGGGACCTGTTTGGTTTGAGATTCCTATTAGCTCTGTGAAATGAAGGTATCAGGTAGACAGCTGTGTAGATAGGTCTGAAATCCAGTCTGGGCTAGAGATACGCATTTGGGATTGATCAGCACATAGACGGTATTTATATAGATGGTATTTAACACCAAGAGACTGGAAGAGATCCCCTAGGGAGTGAGTGTAGAGAGAGAAATTGTCTGAGATCGGAGTTCTGGGGCCCTCAAATGTTTAGGAGTTGAAGCGTTGAAGAGGAGAGGACACCCAGCAAAGGAGACTGAGAAGGAGGGTAACCAGGAAGCCAGGAGGAAAAGCATGAGGGTGTGACATTATGGAATCCAAGTGAAGGAGGTATTTGCAAGAAGAGAGAGCAATCGACTGCAGCAAACGTTGCTGATGGCTCAGCTAAGATGAGGACAGAGAAGGAACATTTGGCTTTGGAAAGTGGAGGTCCCTGGCTAGCCTGGATAAGAGTGGTTTCAAGGAGTGTTGAGGATGAAAAACAGAGTGGAGTGGATTCAAGAGAGCAGGAGACGAGAGGAAGAGGACGGAGAGTCCATGGCCACCAGTTGTAAGTCTTGCTGAAACATGAAGCGAAGAAATGTGACAATAAGCCCAGAGTTGGTTTTATCTCAGGCTGGGTTTACAAGGCAAGCAGGATAGAAGAAGTGAGGGACTATGAATTGCTGGCGCTGACAAAGAAGGGATTGTAATATATCCAAGCCAAAGTGTTCAGAACTAACCCAGAGTCAAATACCCAAAGTGGAGCAGACTTGTCTAGGCATGAAGAGCCTGCGGTTTTGACCCTTCCCAGGAGCCAGTTAGATCCTGTGAATCCCACTTACCGCATGTCAATTCCCCAAAGACTCAAGAGCAGCCATTCCTGCCACTGCTCTAAAGCACTCAGCACACCGTTAGACAGCACACCTCCCCGCTGTCCACCCAGCCCCTGGTGCCCAGTGTTTCCTTTAGGATCTGCTGCTGCTACACCCCCTTCCACATGTTTCCTGAAGTCCCAAGAGTCTCTGAGAAAATCACGTCACCTGACTGGAAAAGTTATTTCTGGGAGAGAAGCAAATTCTGAAAAGCTATATCGGCTGATACACCCACTCCCTGCCCAGACCGAAAGAGTCGGCCCAGCCAGAGTGTTGGCGTCTGAAAGCAGAGGTCCCACTTGGAGGCATTCAGCTCGTGAGCGCGGCACCTTTTGACATAGCTGTCTTGAAATGTGTTTTGAAAAGAAAGAATGCTTATTATTAAAAAAAAAAAAATATCCAAGAGCTTGTGCAATAGACACCCCTGATGCTGTTAAGGGTGGGGAAAGGGATGCCGCCAGACAGTTCATTTGCCTCCCTCTGGCCCTGGCCCTGCTCCCCAGAGCACCCACTATTAATTGAGAGGAGGCTGGGTGTACACGCGGGGGACACGCATGCTCTTATCACAAGTCCTTTGGTGTTCCTGACCTGTCAGACAAAAGTAGTAGTAATAATAATAGTACAGATAATGGTGCTAATAATGAACAGTTGTGGCGCTCTTATTGTATACTGAGTAGTGAGCTCAGCATTTAACACAATTGAGGACATAAGGGAATAGGTATATCAATTTGATTAAACAGTGTCCTTTTTTTTTTTTTTTGGCCGTGCCACACGGCTCGCAGGGATCTTAGTTCCCCGACCAGGGATGGAACCCGTGTCCCCTGCAGTGGAAGCAGAGTCGTAACCACTGGACCATCAGGGAATTCCCTAAACAGTGTCCATTTTCATGTGAAACTTCTGAGAAAAGGGTGTGGTTTCTCACTAGACAGTGTGACGTGCCTTCACCAAATATACACACGTCTAAGAGCATTGAGGGCATCAGAACTGGTCTTTCCGTGATAGCCCGATAGGTAATTCCAGCCCCACTCTACCGACATGCTCACCATTCCTCAGGATCACATCTCCACTCTGGCTGGAAGGGCTGAGTCCCTGGGGGCTCTTGACATTGCCCAGAGCTCTGGAGAAGTGTTCGTCCACTACGCTGCTAATGTCCCCTTGGAAATAGGTGATAAGGACACAGCGGGAATTCCACTCAGTCTTGATAGGGCTCTGCATCTGGACGGCGGTCTTCCTCACTTCTTCCATCGTGACACAGGGGAGAGCTGCGGAGCAAACGCAAAATGTCACTGGTACTCTTTTTCCAAGCGGCTTGGCTGTAGTTTGGAGAAGCAGCATCCTTGAGGGCAAGCAGTTTGCTCCTAAGGTTCAGGCTCTCTCACTGGGGCCCTGGGGAGCTGCGCAGCTGCTGAGTTCAGGAAACAAGACAGAGCTCTACCAAGTCCTGAAGCGACCCTCTCTTACAAATGAAAAAGATTGTCTGGGAGCATGATTAGAAGAACATCAGGAAATGAAAAAGAAAGAGAGGGAGGGAGGGAGGAAGGAAGGGAGGAAGGAAGAAAGAAAGAATGGAAGAAAGAAAAAGAGAAAGGAAGGAAGGAAGGAAGGATGGAAGAAAGGAAGGAAGGAAGGAAGGAAGGAAGAAAGAAAGACAGAAAGGAAGGAAGGAAGGAAGGAAGAAAGAAAGAAAAGAAAGGAAAGAGGGAGGGAGGGAGGGAACACTGAGACCAAAGAGTGGAGTAACTTGCCTTCTGGGGAAGTGCCTGCCTCCCGCGAAAACCACATGTAGATCCCCCCCGAACAAGGGCACTGAGTACCCCAGTAGAGCTTGGCTAAGCAATCCAGTGGGTACTGACAATCTCAGGTTCCCTAATAAACACTGCTTTCCACCTTGGCGACTTCCATGCAGGAGCATCAAGCACATCAAATTCTCCCTCCCCTCTGAAGCCATAATCTGTGTTCGATGGGGTCCTGCACCCACCCCCACCCCATCTTAGAAACTAGCAATTACAAACAACACCAGTTCTGAGGCCTCCAGACAGATATACTCTGCCCAGTCATTTAGAAAATGTCAGAGCTTTAAATCCAGGTCCAATTCACTCTGAATCCCATATTCTTTTTTTTTTTGGTCGTGCCGCATGGCTTGCAGGATCTCAGTTCCCCAATCAAGGATTGAACCCGGGCCACGGCAGTGAAAGCCCGGAATCCTAACCACTAGGCCACCGGGGAACTCCCAGACAGATATACCCTGAAGCAAATGCAGAGAACACTTTTCACACTAATATTTTGTGGCGACATTGGGGAAAAGCGCTCTGTTCACCATGCTTCCTCTGCGCCTAGAACGGTGCCTGATGTCTAGCTTAATATTGAACAAATGCTCAACAGCCGTTGGCTAAATTGCCTTAAACTTGGCCTCCATCACTGGATTCTACCTGTGAGCTCCTTGAAGGCAGAGGCTGTCCTTTTGCACCCAGGCGGGGACCGGCACACAGTGGGCACTGGAGACAGGCCGTGGCCTCCCTTTACCAGGGAAGTAACCAGTGTGGGTGCTTCGTCACCTCTGGCCATCCAATCCGACACGCCCTGTGCTCTGGCTAAAGACACCTTGAATCTATTCATTCTGATGCATATAATGCAAATGACTAGAGTTTAATAGCTCTTCGCCCTCTCTAGTCTCTGAGATCCTCGGGGATGGGGGCCATTTCTTATTCATTTCTTTATCTCTAGCACCTAACACTAAGTAAACAATGGGCTGAGTGATGAAATGCCATTCCGTGCAGTAAAAGCACAAAGCAAGGAAATCACACCAGTTAGAGGTCAGAGGGCCTGGGCTTGCCCTTGGCTGGGTGTGTGCCTTTGGGGGAAATCACAGAGCCTCTCTGGGCTTCAGATTCCTCTAGGGTAAAATGAAGAGGTTGGGGTGTATGAATTCTGCAGCCTGTTCTTTTATGGTCCTGCCAGAAGTGCCAACAAATTATGATGAAACGTTAGGAGGGAATCTGGCAGTGAGCAGAGGACCCTTACTTAAAAGTTCTCCTTTCGGAATCCTAGCCTCAGTCACAGCTGGATTCTCTTGTCTCCAGAAGCCTCTGATTGAGCACGTCAATCTGTTTCCCCCGGGAGACAACCATGCTAAGTAAGCATCACAGGTACTACCTGGAAAATGAATCCACTGTATCCTTATTTCAAAACACATGGGAGCAAAAAAAAAAAAAAAAAAAAAACAACACATGGGAACAACCACTTTGAAAAACTGGCGGTTCCTTCTAAAGTTAAACGTACACTTACCATATGACCCAGCAATCCCACTTCTAGGCACATGTAACCAAGAGAAATGAAAACAGATATCTGCACAAAGACTTCTACGTGTTCTCAGCGGCTTTATTCATAATAGCCAAAAAGTGGAAACAACACAAGTGTCCATCACCAGGAGAATAAATAAGCTAGCTGTGACACTTTCATACAATGGAATGTTCGTCAGCCATAAAAAGGCACAGACTACCAATCCACCCAACAGCATGGATGAATCACTAAAACATTAAGCTGAGTGAAAAAAGCCAGACGCAAAAGACCACATATTGTATGATTCCACTTACACGAGACAGGCACAAATAATCTATAGTGATAAAAGAACAACGGTCGCCTGTGGGCTGGGGCTTGGAAAGGGGTGAGAGGGAACTCGTAGGAGTGTTGGAAATGTCTTACATCCTGAAAAGGGTGAAGGTTACACGTGGATGTAGACATTTTGTCAAAACTCATCAAATCGTGCACTTAAGGTCTGTGCATTTCACTGAAGGCAAATTATTCCTCAGTGAAAAAACACATATTATCGTCAGATACTTGGACTCACAGAAATAAAGCAAAGGTGTAATCCTTGGGCACGTTACGCGGTAAGTCAAAGACAAGCACTGTACGATCTCACTTATATGTGAAACTTTCAAGAGGCAAACTTGTAAAAATAGAGAATAAAGTGGTCGTTCCCGGGGCTGGGGGGTAGGACCAAAGTTGTTTAAGGAAACAAACATGCCATGAGTAGTGAATAAGCCCTAGAGCTCTACTGCACAGTGCAGTGAAAGTAGAGCACAATATTGTATTATAATCATCAAACTTTCTAAGAGACTGGAACTTAATTATTTCAACCACTAACAAGAAAGGATAATTATGCATCATGATAGAGGTGCTAATTAATAGCTCCGACAGCAATCATATGACAACATATAAATTTATCACATTAGCATGTTGTACACCTTAAATCTACAGAATCTTATATGTCAAATATATTTGAAAAAATAGCAAATCAAATAAATAAAGCGACAGTGTTGTCAATGACGAAGTAATGATAAATGTGGACGCAGCCCTTCTTCTAAAGCGGCAGTTTACAGAAGACCTACTCTGTGTCGGAAGCTACAGATATACTTTCTCCAATCTTTACAACCTTCAAAGGAGGTATCCTTGTCCCCATTTTATAGATGAGCAAATTCAGGCTTCGAGAAGGGAAATCGAGGGCCCAGGCCACGCAGCTCGGTGGTGGCAAAGCTGGGGTTTGAACTCAGGTCTCCCTGACTTCAGTGTCTGGCCTTTTCTCACCATCCCTTTCTAACTACCTGGTGGGGCTAACCGTCCGTTCCCCTCCACGGGACTCACACCAGGACCCTAACCCAGCTGTCTGGCTCCCCGTCGGGCATGCAGGCAGGCGGCCCATGCGCTCTCGCACACATCTTCTGGAAGCCTGTACCGGCAAGGGCCGCTTGGCGCCTTTGTGGGTTTTGCCCTCTTACCCTCTCGTCAGTGGCCACTTCTCTAGCTCAGGCTTGACCCAGCCAGCCACCTCTCTTTGCTAAGTCTCCCTGAAGCCACGAAAAGAGCCGGCCGGACCCTTGGGACATCAGGGTGGTGAAGCACGCTCCCAGACCCCGTGGTAAGAGACCACAGGCTAGCTCCGTAGCGATAGAGCAGGTCAGAGCACCGTCTCAGCGACCTCAGCCGGGGGGCTCAGACCTTACACAACTGCTGATCCTGAATAAGCCCCAAGACCTACCCGTGCCCCTCTCTTTTCCTCACCAAACACATGACACATACTCGAAAGGAAAGCCCTGGGTTACGTCTCTGGATCCAGCTGACAAGCAGTTCTCCGGACGGTACTCAGGCCTCGGTGAGAGGATCTGTATTTGCGGGCTATTCAAATTCTGAGAACTGTTATCTGGTTTAATTCTTTCATCCCCACACGAAGCCTCCTTGAGGGCTCTCTTCTTTATTCGGGAGTGAATTGGTGGGGTGGGTCTGACTTACTTAGAAGGGGGGCCGCAAAGCTGGAACTAACGGGAGGTCAACGAGGCAGAAGAAAGGGTGGGACTTTCCTAGCCAAGATGTTTCTGTATCGAGGCCTGGCTTTGTAGCAAAAGTCTCTTGCTGACAAAACCCTCACCCTTGTCCAAGCTTTGTCAGCTGTGCCGTTCGAACAGCAGAACTACAAAAGCCCACTGTAACTTGCAGTTTCCCCAACGCACAAAATATCAAGACACCAAGTAGGCATCAAAATACTGCCCGGTCTTCTGCACAAATATTTTAACATGGAATCCAAGAGGAACGGTTTGACCTGACTTCTACCAGGCTGCCTACCTTGACGTGCTTACCACCCTTCTGCGAAATGGTACCCAGCACCCCGGCGGTGGGATGGGGAGTCAAAGAGGTGATCACTTGGAACAAAAACCCCAAAGGGACCGGACTGTATCTCACTGAACAGAGGATGTGATGCCCTCCACCACCACCCCGCCCCCAGCCCCGATTCCTTCCCAGTTGAATTCCCATCCCTCCTGCCTCCGCCAAAGTCCCCACCTTCTCTTACCTTAATTCTCGACCATCAGCGGAGACACAGGAAGATGCTATGGCCGGGCAAACGTACCTTTTGATGGCCGGAGCCGCCTGGCCCGTTTTAGAGCAGCTCAGTGCTGGCCCGAGCAGGGCCTGACGATCTTGTGCCCTCCCCTTGCTACTTTCTACCCTTCTAGCAGAGCCTAAATGAGGCATTTCCTGCTAGCTATCTATTAAGAATGCAGAAAATGTACTCCAACAAGTCAATCGGGTTGGGCACCTGCAGGAATGAGGAAAATAGGTAGTTCTTTTTTTTAATTTCTTTCTTTTTGCATTAAAAAAAAAGCACTTAGCGATATTGTCTCTTAAAGTGGGCGGCCAATTGTTTGCCCGGAAACCACACACAGAGTAGTAATGTCTGAAGCCTCAGTGGTGGG